GATCGCGACATTTAATTTAATCGGCAATGTTGGGCGCTACAAAAACACAAATGATCGCTTTCAGAACATCTTCCGCCAGGTAGAGATGCAATCTGAACTACGTTACTGCTGCATGTGCAAAGGGTTCGTGTCTTTCGAGTATCGACCCCGTTCGAAAGATACAAATATTTACACGTCACCGCACTCGGGTGTCCAATTATCGCGGCTTGGGGCGTTTTATCTCGCACGCCAGCTTCGCAACGATATGCAAAGCGACTCTATCAATTCCTCCGTACGAGGAAGAGGAAGAAGCGCGAAAGTTGTATCTGATGCGGCGTTGTATATCGCCCGCTCCGAATTTAGATCTTGTTTGTAATTTATTCTATTGCACGTGTCATTGGAGAGAAATCGCTAGCTATCAATCTACACGAATCATTTTCTTCGCGCATGCACGTTACAAATGCTAAAAGACGCAGGCTATAGTTCGGATAACGAAGAAAATTATACTTTCGAATGAGCGAGTGAAATTTTATATTTTATTCGGTTCGTGTTTATTTTGATTTTTCGAGAATGTTTTTATTAATTTAATTTTTATATAGAAGCTAGCTATGCGTTTGTTCACGATAATCGATTATTTATTTCATCTTGCGATAGCAGGATGTAATTTATCTTACAGTTGACATTTTATACGAGAGAATTTCTCTGGATATATGAACCGAGAAAAATCATTCGTTTATTTTTATTCATATCTCTATTTTACACACGCTTGTTTTAAAGAAAAAAAACTTGCATTGAATGATAATGCCGGCGCTGGCATGTCGAGATCTCCTGGTCGGGAGCATGATTAAAAGTCCTGACCGATATTTTGCTAATTACGAGCACGCCAGACACAAACGAGCCTCTAATTACGTGTCCCGGCGTAATAATGGATAACCCTTAACCAAGCACAAAAGATTCCGAGTTCAACCACCGTAGGAAATCATTCATGCTTCCCATAGACCACCGCGGTATCTTTTCTTCTCTCTCCACCCCTCTCCGCTTTTTTTCTTTCGCATATGCTATAATTCCAAACTAATTTTTTTTGCAGATGACGCTACAAGTATCGTGGGTCCGGCACAGAGACGTCCATTTGCTCACAATTGGCCGTTACACGTACACGAACGACCAGCGATTTCGCGCGATCCACACTGCCCATTCGGACGACTGGACGCTCCAGATAAAATATCCGCAGCATCGGGACAGCGGTATTTACGAGTGCCAGGTCTCCACGACGCCCCACATGAGTCATCTAGTCCATTTAAATGTAATCGGTAAGTCATCGTTACCTTGCAACTCCATCCGCCCGAATATTGATAGGGAAGTGAAATTGAAAATTCACAATTTAAAATTAAACAAGTCTAAAGAAAATTACGCAAATTACGAAACTTTCTTTCCCGAATATTATAATAATATACCATCGATTATATAAGACATCACGATTACGTGTGCCACGGAAATAGATTTAACTTCCTCTCATGCGGATATCCCGCGGTTCCAATCAAATATTAGTGCGCGGAGAGCATGCGGGAATTTCACCTAATTAGGATGGTGTACGCAACAATTAGTTAATTCTAATCCGAATCTGCCCTAGTTACCGTAATAGTCGTCCGCAATAGTGGTAGTAGTAGCGGTAGCAGCGACTGCGCAAAATTTAAGCCGAGCTTAAATTCTGGCGGAGCGCCAATTGAACACCTGGGATTGGTTGATACCGATGTCGGGCTAAGCTCTATCACGCGCAGATAGGGCTTCCCGCGAAATTATACCGAGCAAACTTAAATTCGATAACGACGTCCTTCAACTTTTTATCTACCACCGTGGTCATAGAAAGGAGAGAGAGGGGGAGAGAAAAAAAAAAGATAGGACGTAGAGCAGTTTTCGCTTCTCGGAGTTTACGTAAGTAATTACCCGCCGATCGAATCGAACGCACGTACGGTCGGCGCGAACGCGAAGGCGAACGTATATCATTCGCGATGCGGCACCCGATTTAATCACGCAGCTTCCCCCTTTCCCGGCGCACCCCCCCGTGCAAGCGCGGAAAGAAGTTTGCCGACCGTATCGGATCGTTTAAGGAGCAAACTTTTGTACCACGCCATATCGCACGTAACGCGGGCGGCGGCGGCGCCCGGCGTGCTATGAAAAACTTTCGCGATCGCTTATACGTCAGTCTGGGAATTTATCTTACGCGGCGCAGCGAATTGATTTAAATCGTCCCGTGGGCGACGCGTCGTCGCCGTGTCTCCTCTCGTCGCGACACGGACGCTCTCGTCGACCGGCGATCGTCGACTAGCGAAGCAACGAATTTCCTCTTTAAGGTCTCCCCGTCTCGAAGAGAGCTGCCCCTTTAAATTTCGCCTACATTAAGACGAAGGTGAAGGAAGGGACCGAGAGGATGGTCCTATTCCTCTCTTCCCTCCCTGTTCCTCCGGTGAAGCCCGTTATACTCCCCTTGAAGGTAATCCCGAAGGAGGAATACGCCGAAGACGAGGCAAAGGGATCGTTTATCATTCTTAGCCCTGACCCTTAACGCAACGGCTGAACAAATGATCCTAAAGAGTAACGGCTATACACACCTGCTTGCGCGGGAGGAGGATCGCTCCCCTTCTCGAGAAAGAGAGAGAGAGAGAGAGAGCATTGTATTAATTATAATAGTATAGATTATCTCTTATTTGATAATTTTGTATATTCTATATGTTTCTAGATTTTTAAATCTGTTTCATTTTTGTCCTTGTCTCTTTTACCACGATTTTTATCATATTTCTATATTTTTCAACAGTCGCTTTTATGTCAGATTTATATATCGAGTTTTGAGAGTCAATTATTCTCAGATCTTAAATTTTTAAAAGATTTGCTCGAAAGAAAAATTTGAAGCGATATTATCGAAAGTATAATATAATCTGATAAAAAAGAGTCTCTAATAAATATTTGCTGATATAAATTTTCCTCCACTTCCATAAATTTTCCGCCGCATACTTTCGTAATGTTAATGCAAAATATACATCTAATTAAATTGAATATCTAAAATGTATATAAATATTGAATATATATATGGATGTAAAAGAGCATCTCATTTACTCCAACATGACTACATTAGCACGTTTACACTTCAATGACTCATATGTGAGACAATATTGTTCCAAGAATCTAACAATATAGGTATATCATGATAATAGGCATAGTGTTTAAAGTGGAAAATATTTACATTGTTCCCATAAGACTCTCTTACCTCTTTTTTTAGATGTA